ACGTCATCCCTTAAGGATGTTCAATGCAATCACGGAAGTCAAAATTCTCCAGGAAGGTCTGACCGGTGGCGAGTTGTCCACCGAGCTCCGAGTCGATGGCAGTATGCATCATGAGAACGTCAATAACGGCGTTGATGAGGACCTCTTGTACAACAGCAGCATCTCCTGCTACTTCGATGAGCAGCTCAGTGATAAGAAGTTGCTGTTCGACCTGATTAGAGACAATTCCCCCAAGCTGAGCTATAACGAAAGTAGGGCCTCCCCCAGAGAACGTCCACTGACCGTAACTGACGTGTCCGCGCCGCTTCCGCACAGCAACTGGCCTGCTCCAATGGCCCAACGTTTGAGCCTATCGTTGGCATCAGATTCAGTTGATAGATCCCTTATCACACTGAGAGCCTCTCGAGCTTGCGAGGGGTAATATTGCGTCCTGAGTGGCAGTCTCGAACATCCTCTCGTGCAGTAGGCTACTTCAGTATACTCTAATCCCCCATCAAATAACGTTTCATAACAACAACGTACCGGATGTGCTCCAACTGATGATCATTGAGCTTGATATTGGGTGGTAGGATATGTAAGGCCTTTGTATACTCTAGAAGAGTCTCTAAGAAGTCCTCTATGATGCTGTAAGGACCCTCTCTGTAAATGATGATGTTTATTATTATTATGTCTTCTCCTCCTCCTACATTAGTCGTATTTTATTGCCTCTTCCCATAAGCCTTCGTAATGCCCCTTTACAGTAGACAACCAATTTCCTATTGTTTTCTATATTGGTTGAGTGAGGAGAAGATGTCATTACAATGTCTGACTGCGGGGCGGCTATGCCATAGCTCGAAGATATGCCTTAGCGTAATTGATTCCGTCAGCATGACCGGAGTAACTCACATACCGACACGTGTGACATGGTAGATTATACGAGTCACAAGTGAAACAGTCAGTTTTTTACCGAGTAATACGACAATTCACGTGAAACGGGTTAAACTCCATTGAAACACCTTTGACAGAAATGATTTTTAATCCACGTCTATACGATCCATAGTCGAAGTCTATATCATCGGAATCCTTCCCTGGGTATGTGGATACTGTTTGCAGAATCATAAAACAGCTCATGCTGGCATCGTCAAGCTAAGTGG